CAGCCTTCTCCAATCATGGCTGGGGGGCAGGGCAAAGGCGGCCCTGGGGACTCTTAGCCCCCCCGTGGGTTTCCGATCACTGTCAGTGGCGGGGGCTTCTTCCTGCTTTCCCTTTCGCCTCCCTGCATTGTGCCTACATATGCAAATTAACCGGCATCTTTGTTGTCAGTTAACTGCCATCTGAGTTGGCAGTTAATTTGCATATAGCCCTGATTAGCCAATGAAAAGGGTAGTGTCGTATGCCAATTACCATTTTTCTCTTTTATTAGTGTAGATGAGTAAGGAAGGAAGTGAGGGCATAGGATAAAGGACAGTCAATAAGATGGGAACAATTACTGGACTCAAAGAATTAATAACACAAAGGATTGTTATGAGGATCAGAATAAATGTACATAAGGCATTCAGCACATTACCTAACTCACATTTAGCATTGCATGAATAATAGCTGTTTTCATTTATTATTACTTCAAAATACCTCAGAAAGTAATGTTACACTAACCTCACATGGTTATTTGTTTTTTCAACAATTATGGGCCAAGAACTATTCTAGAAACTGTGTCTAGCATAGTAAAAAAAAGACAAAGTCCCTACCCTCATGGAGCTAACATTTTAGAGGGTTGTATGAATATTAATAATATACTGGTAAGTGCCTTGCTCATGTATGTGCTCAATAAATGTGTTATTACCCCCTTTGGTTCCAGCCTCTCCATTTTCTTCCATTTATTATGGACACCATTAGGAGAGTAACATTATTTATTCCTTACATTCCTCTGTTCAAAAACCTACATTGGTTTTCTACTGTAATATCTAAATAAATTGTCTCCAAACATATTTACTTGCATACTAAATTATTTTAAGTGCTTATTTATAAATTACACATATGTTCTAAGTACTCCAAGAGTATATACATTATAAAACATGTATTAAATCACTTAGATCAATTTACATACAACCACTATGGTAAGCAGTCTGGCGATGCCTCAAAAAATTAAAAACAGAGCTACAACACTACCCAGCAATCCCTCTCCTGGGCATATATCTGAAAAACTTGAAATCATGTATTCACAAAGATATATGCACCCCTATGTTCATTATAGCATTATTCACAGTGGCCAATACATGGAAACAACAAAGTGTCCTGCAATAGAGGATTGGATAAAGATGTGGTATATACACACAATGGAATACTACTTAGCTATAAGAAAGGATAAAATAGTGTCATTTATAATAACATGGGTGGACCTTGAGAATATTATGATAAGTGAAATAAGTCAGTTAGGAAAAGCTAATAGCCATATGATTTCACACATATGTGGGATATAAAACTGAAATTTGTGAACACAAACAAGTTGCCAGAGGTAATGGAGTGGGGAGAGAAGGGAGTCCTAGTATGTGGTGACAGGAGAAGATCTGACTTTGGGTGGTGGGCACACAGTGCAGTATACAGATCTTATAACATAGAAACCCACAACTGAAATCTGTATGTCAACCAATGTCACCCCAATAAATTTAATTTAAAAAAACAGTGTAGCCCTAACCGGTTTGGCTCCGTGGATAGAGCATCGGCCTGAGGATGCAAGGGTCCCAGGTTCGATTCCGGTCAAGGCCATGTACCTTGGTTGAGGGCACACACCCAGTAGAGCGTGTGCAGGAGGCAGCTGATCGATTTTTCTAACTCTCTATCCCTCTCCCTTCCTCTCTGTAAAAAATCAATAAAATATATATATTTTTAAAAAGAACAGTGTACATAGTTTGAATAACATCAGTATTAGTTTGGTTGTTGTGTGGGTTTTGTTTCATTTTGTATTCTATTATTTCCTCTTGCAAAACCCACTTTGGAGACCACTGATCTAAAACTGTTTGGCTTTCAAAGGCCTCTATTATTTGATCCCATGTATGTATCCAACTTCCTTTCCTACTATCAGACCTACAGGTAGTCATTTCACTGCCTCCGAAGTACTTCATGGTTCCATTCTCACCCCCTAGTCCTTGCCAGTGACAGGAAAATGTCCAACCTTTCTGACTTTCTAGATCATAACAACCCTCACAAAATCAGTGGGAAAACTGCCATTCTTCCCTGGTCTTCCAATCTTCCCTGGCTGCTTCAAATGATACCCACCTTTCCCTTTTCTGATTTCCTATGGTACTTAATAGTCCCTCCACACTTCACTATGTATCTTTGTTTCACACAACTGTTCTATAGTGTCTTGATTATACTACACATTAAACTTGCCTCTGCAGAGTTAGTTAAAAGGTTATTTTACCAGAGATAATAAAGCGGCATGACAAGCTATGATGTCAGTTTAAAAAAAAAATTGAAGAAAAAGCAATTATAACAATATCTAAAAGGGAACATCAGTAATACTTTCAACAATATAAATAATTTTTTAAAAAAATCTAGAGCTGTGATTAGCAGATAGCAGGTACCATGAAAAAAACACAACTTCTGGAGTTCAATGGCGTGTTTGTGAAGGGCTGGAGGGTGAAAAGCATAACTGGATTAAATTTCTTTGCCTTTCACCCTGACCGGTTTAGCTCAGTGGATAGAGCGTCGGCCTGTGGACTCAAGGGTCCCGGGTTCGATTCCAGTCAAGGGCATGTACCTTGGTTGCCAGCATATCTCCAGTAGATGTGCAGGAGGCAGCTGATCGATGTTTCTCTCTCATCGATGTTTCTAACTCTCTCTCTCTCTCCCTTCCTCCCTGTAAAAAATCAATAAAATATATTTTAAAAAAAATTTCTTTGCCTTTCTAGCCTCTCTTACTGGGTGGGAGAGCAAATGCATGTTTTCAGTGTCAGGACGCTAATACCCGATCAAGTAAGGAGGACGGGTGAATGAACAACGCTTGGAAAATCCCAATCTGTCCTTTACTCTTCCCTTCCCTGCCCTTCCCTGCAAGCATCCCTCATCCCCCAGGCCCCCGCACCTCGGTCTAACACTCTTCTCTACGGAGGTGCTTTTGATTCAGAAAGTGCTTTTATGAGTATCACTTAATTTAACCTTTTCCGAAACTTACTGACGTTGTGGTATCATCATTTCCATTGTGTCACGAAAGATCTTAAGTTGAGCCCGATTAAAGGTTTGCACAAGGTGTTAAAGCCAATCATTTAGGAACCTTCTCGCCACTGACCTCCCCGCCCGCATCCTTTCCAGGCTCCTCTCCACGACCCCGCACCCCGACGTAAGTATTTCTCAGAACCCCAAACCCTGGCAACCCTATGAGAACCCCGATTCTCTCGATCGGTTAAACGCCCCTCGCTTTCTCCTCTCCCCTTCCCGTTGCTCGCGTTCTCCCGGCGCAGACCCCTTCCCAAATGCGCCTGTGAATTTGTGAGTCGGAGACGGAAAGGAAAGGAGAAAACTGAACGGGCGCAGCCCTGAACCTAGAAAACCCGTGTCCGGGGCGTCGGCATGACCGCTGCGGCGCGGCGCCACCCCCCAAATGGTCACCCGGTCCCGGAATCCCAACCCGGGCCCGTTTTCCCAGTGACACTTACGTGACATTGGCAGGACCCGGACAACCCAGGGGTGAGCGGCGGCCGCCATCTTCTCCCACAATCCCCTGTCGCCGGCGCTCCGCAGACCACGGCTCCTCGGCAGGGTCAAAAGTAATCGTCCCAACAGCCTGCGCAGGCGCACACCAGGAAAGGGGGCGGGTCAGACACTGGGCGGACGGCGGCGGCGAAGGGGGCGAAACGGCCGGGGAGACGTGATGGAAACCGGGGGTAGACAGAGAAGAACCCTGAGGTCGGAATCTCAGATCTCAGATTACAGAACGAACAGTCACAATCATCTCGTGGTGGAGAAACCAGAAGTTCAGTGTCAACCAGTAATTGACTGACTCAAGGGCCTACAACATGACGGAACCCGAGCTCAGCTTTTCTGACTCTAAATTCATTGTTTCAGAGAGGGAAGCCTCATCCTTCAGGAGACCAGCAAGGTCCTGCGGAGAAGTTGTACGAGAAAGGAGCGGGGCAGGGATGCAGAGAGGAAGGGGGAAGAGAGAAGGAGGAATGAGGGTGTGCACGTGGAATCCACCAAAGCGCATTCTGTGTTCTCTCCTGGAAGCTCTGCTTGCTGTTCCCTTTTCCTGGCGTGCTCCCTCAGCGGTCTGCACCAGCGCCGGTCTGCTCGCAGGGGGCCTCAGAGAATACGTATCTGACATCCCAGGTGGCCATCGTTCCTGCTGTCTTCTAGTCTCATTTAGCAAAGCATTTATAACCACCTGACATATGAGTCCAGAGATTCTTGACCTGGAGTGTGATTCATGAGTGCATTTCATTCAGGACGCCTATGAACCTCCTGACATGTTATTTAAAATTTAGTGAACTAGGAAGAACCTCTGGAGCAGTGGTTTATAATTGATTTTTAACTGTGGACTTCCCTAAGAATCTGCATTGTTTTAGAGCAGCGGTTCTCAACCTGTGGGTTGAGACCACTTGGGTCGAACGACCCTTTCACAGGGGTCGCCTAAGACCATTGGAAAACACATATATAATTACATATTGTTTTTGTGATTAATCACTATGCTTTAATTATGTTCAATTTGTAACAATGAAAATACATCCTGCATATCAGATATTTACATTACGATTCATAACAGTAGCAAAATTACAGTTATGAAGTAGCAACGAAAATAATTTTATGGTTGGGTCACAACATGAGGAACTGTATTAAAGGGTCACGGCATTAGGAAGGTTGAGAACCACTGTTTTACAGCCTGAGGGGATTTCAGAAAGATTAGACAAAACACTTGCAAGTTTAAATAGTTTCTTCTGCTCAATTTTCAAGATCCCTCAGTAGAAGACAGCAACCAGCAACCTGTCCTCAGACATTTGCTTTGGATTTTATCTATCATAAAACAAACAAGTTTAGCTTATGGTTAGAAAAAAGAGAGAGAAAGGGAAAGCTTAGCAAATAGGAAACTGTCAAACATGGTAGTTATTACAAGGGGAGGGACTAAAACATAAAAAAAGGTTTAGGGATCTTTCTACACCTGGTAATTCATGCTGTTTTATTTTGTTTTGTTTTTGTTTTTAGGAAGATAAGTGTGCATGCTGAGATGGGCAAAGGACATGTAGTGAGTAGATTGGTGTTCCTACCCCACCCCCACTGTTAAGCTGCAGCTACCAAACTGAAATAAAACAGGAAACTTTTAGAGAAAATTTATCAGAGAAATATACAAATGCTGTGCTGTCTTACATTTCTTGGCCTTATCCTATGTTCAGTCAGCACTTAAAGTTTGGTAATATTTGATTCTGGAGTCAATAGGAATATCAACATACTTTCCTGGTCCTGATAAATTAATAGACCCCTATTATCAGCAATCTCCTAACACCTGTGTAGCATTGCCAGTTATGTTATTTTACACCTCCAAGTCAAACACTGCCCCAAGTTTTTTTAACACTAGAAAGACTGAAATTTAGTATATACCTATATTGCCCAAAAGCAGTCAAAATGACTGCATTGTGAAAGAATAATGTGTAAAGAAATTTGTTTAAAATTAATTTTTTATATTTTTTATATTATTTACAGTTATATAACAAGTTATTTGACATTTCTTTCATGAATTTAAGGCGCAAAAGAAATAAAACAAACAACTTATTAGAACAAGTATCACTGCATAAAGATTCGAATAACAAGTACTAGTTTAGCTTATTGAGCAACTGCAACTTATCAAGTATCGACAATTTATCATGTACTTGTATGTTATCATGTGACGGTAATCGAAAAAAACTGAAAACTGGTATTTCAATACAGAGACGAACTGGTC